ACACACACAGTGCTTAGAGAATAAGTGAACACACCCATGCTAAAGTTGACTACCCTTCACAATATAGACATGGTTTTATTTCAGTTAGCCTAACTGAACATTTATACATAAATAATATATTGTATTTAGACAGTATCACATATTTTACCGGAGGCTGAAATATATTTCACTAAATCATTATATAACCTAAGCAGTTATTCGCAAACAAAATAAATTACGCATAAGGCAGTATTTTAGCATGATAATCAGTGTCATAAACTAATCTCAAAACTGAGTGAAATATATGTAGTAGGTTAATATCACATTTAAAAAGTTTACACGAGCGTATAGGCCTACGTATAGGGATATTGTGACTGTGAGGTAATCTTTCCTATGTCAAAAGCTAGCCAAAACTAGACAAAATATAGTCTGAAAATTCATTTGAGCTCTATAATCAGAAAAGGAATTATATAACACTAAACAACTTACTCCGAGCTTGTATCCTCGGCGGGGTCAATTCGTTCTTCAAAATGCAGCCGTAGGTCGTCCGAGTTTCAAATACCTCTGAGGAAAAGGTGAATCCTTCCCCGCTGTCCAGAATCATCTGAAGGAGTAGAGTGCCATTCTCAAAACGCAATGAACTATCAGTGAATCTGATGGAGAAACTTTGTGTTGTTATGGCATTAATCGCTGGGCGTGTGCTATGCATAACGTTAGATCACCTATTTACCATGTGAAAAGTGCTGGGGGCGTGGCGGCCTCAGCTCATTAAAGATAATGAACTGAGAACGAAAAAACTGTACCTCTCCTTGGTTTCAAACGGATTACATAAACTGGAAATATTTCTTTTTTTAATAAATTACTTCATTTAAAAGAAGAGAATACAAGCTTTAAAAAGACACATGTCTCGTATCTCTGTGACAAGTATTGACTTAGTTACAGTTCATTTTTCGGACGCGTTTCAGAATGGACTTCACTGACAGAGAGAACGCAGAACGCGAATCATGTTTATTTTTCTTTATTTGGCGAAAAGCACAACACTTTGTTTTTATTGTGAGGTTCCACAAAAAAAATACAAACTTAACAGGATTGAATGATGTATAACACTTATATGTAAGATCAAAATCAACAGAGTAATTTGAGTCTCTTTTGCACTGATAAGGAAAAAAGTGAGCTGGTATCGCCGGCGATACCGCCGACCCCAGAGAGTTAACAAGAAATAAAGCTTCAACTTCTGATGTTTCCAAACAGCATAGCAGTAATGACTTTATGAACTTCGTTACTTGCAAGATTGATAATATTAGGGAAAAAATAATAACTATGCAACCGTCAACTACAGTATCGCATCAGACAGTGCATTGTAGTGTCCCTGAGGAAAAAATCCATTCATTCGTTGCTATAGGAGAGGAAGAATTGTCTAAACTCTTTCAATCATATAAATCAACAACATGTACACTACCGTTCAAAAGTTTGGGGTCGGTACGATTTTAAATACTTTTAAAAGAATTCTCTTCTGCTAACCATGGCTGCGCTTATTTGATTAAAAATACAACAAAAATCAGTTATAGTATTAAATATTATTCCAGTGTAAATCAGCTGTTTTCTGTGTGAATATATAGTAAAGTGTAATTTATTCCTGTGATCAAAGCTGAATTTTCAGCATCACCAGTGTCAGTGTCTTCAGTGTCAAATGATCCTTCACAAATCAGTATAATATGAGGATTTGATGCTCAAGAAACATTATTATTATTATCAATGTTGAAACAGTTGTTGGTCTGTCAGTTGTACAGTTTTTTTTGTGTTTTTTTAGGATTCTTTGATGAATAGGAAGTTCAAAAGACTTTTGTAACATTATAAATGTCTTTACTGTCACTTTCGATCAAATTAATTATTCCTTGATAAATAAAAGTATTGATTTCTTTCCTCCAAAAAATAAAAATAAAATTCTCACTGACCCCAAACTTATGAACGGTAGTGTATGTTAGACCCTATACCGACTAAACAACTGAAAGAGATGCTTCCAGAGGTCATAGATTCTCTTCTTAAAATCATTAAATAATATTTGTCATTAGGATATCTACCACCAACTTTTAAGCTGGCTATTATTAAACCTCTTATTAAAAAAACACAACTTAATCCTAGAGAATTAGTCAATTACAGGCCGATCTGAAATCTACCCTTTCTGTCAACAATACTAGAAAAGGCAGTTTCCTCACAACTAGAAAGAAAGAAATGGTATCTGCAAGGATTTCCAGACAGGATTTAGACTGTATCATAGTACTGAGATAGCTCTCATTAGAGTTACAAATGATTTGATATTATCATCCTATCATGGTTGTATATCAAGCGTAGCGTCAGTTCTGGCAGGTCACTTAGTCAAGCTCGCATCAGTGACTCTCAGCTGATCCACGTCAACCTATGGGAATACGACGCCTATCACTGTATACATATATAACCTCCTTTAGTATTATCACCAGCTGTCGAGTTTCTCAGGAGCTAATTACCCTCCTCCATCCCCAGCTCCTCCTCTCGTCATTCAGGATTTGGCATTCTGATTCCCCTTGAATCAGAAAAAATTCTTGAATCATATTGTACTTTAAAATCTTGAATTAATGATATCTGCAATACATTCATGTTGGTTCTGTTCTGTTTACCCTAAGGGGGGGGTTATTGCTGCTCTCCCTGCTCTTATCCATGCTAGGCTGCATGGATGCGCAGGGAGTTCTTGCCCAGAACAGAACCATACCGTCAATCCAAACTGTATGCTAATTGTCAATCGTATTCGACGATAGTGGTCCTGACAGAACTCTGTACTAGTGTTACTGGATCTTAGTGCTGCATTTGATACCATCGGACACAACATTCTTTTGAATAGACTCAAAAATTATGTTGGCATTAGTGGAATTGCATTAGCATATTTTAAATCATACTTATCTGACCGTTATCAGTTTGTAGCAGGAAATTAAGACATGTCATTATGGAGTACCGTAAGGCTCAGTACTAAGACTGTTGCTTTTCACCCTGTAGATGCTACCCTTGGGAGATGTTATTGGGAAGAATACAGGCTGAAAAGAATACAAAATTAACAAGGAAACTGAATTTTTTAAATAGTTTGTTGATGGAAATAAAAGATGAACTTCTCCAAGATGTTTTTGATGTAACTGACCAATATTACAGAAATTTTACATCACAGTGAACTCAAACTAAACTAACAGAATGAGAGTTTAACACAATGATATCACAGTGGTCTCACATGGTGAGCTCACACAATGTGTGCACAGTGAGTGCACTGTGACCTTACATTGTGACCATAGTATGAGCACACAGTGAGTGTGCTGTGAGGTTACACTTTTAGCTCGCTGTGACCTCACATTGTGACCACATCATGAGTATCCTGTAAGCTCACAGTTTGAGCACACAACGAGTGCGCTGTGAGGTTACACTTTTAGCTTGCTGTGATCTCACATTGTGACCACATCATGAGTATCCTGTAAGCTCACAGTTTGAGCACACAGTGAGTGCGCTGTGAGGTTACACTTTTAGCTTGATGTGACCTCACATTGTTACCACATCCTGGAAGCTCATGGCGAGATCAATGTGAGATCAAATTGTTGACTGGGTAGCCACCTAAACCGGCTTCATGGTATAGGCCCTTGAGCCATTCGTGATATTTGCAAGAACATTTTCAAGAACAACCACTTTCCACCAAAGCTATCAGTGCATTGCAGAAGTATTAGGGTCCGACATAAACCCTTCAGTCTGACATAAATTCCCCCAAATCAATATTAAGTTATTGTTGTTTCAATCAAAAACACAACAAGGCAAAGCTGAAGGAAGTCTTGATTAAGCCTTATCGTGGCTAGAAAGCTAGAAAGACAGAGACAACAGTACACAAAATTCAATGTCCAAAACTAACACTCTCCAAGAACCAGATGCAAGTAAAAGGAACAACTACAAGATAGATCCATTAAATTGATGTGAGAGATGCAAATTCAAGACATACAAACTGCCTTAAAAGAAAATCTTCAGAGAGGGTCGGGAATACCTTTTTCTTTTTACAGAATTTAATGTGCTGACACATTCTGTATGTGGATTATTCCTTCCATTAAACCACTAAAAAGGAACCATGAGCATCAAAATTACAGTGTGTTTTAATGATTGTGACAGGTGGTGTTTGCAGAAAAATATCTGTTTGGCAAAAATATATATATATACTTTTTTTCAATAAAAATAAAGAAAGAAATTGAAGCTACTATAAAAAAAAAGTCACACAGTCAGAATGCCATACCTCAGAAAAAGATCAGTTTCATATCAATATCAGTAATATCATCCCTGTGCTGTTATGGACATTTTTAGAGAGAAATCAAAGCACATATGCATTCAAACAGATATTATCCTTTATCCTTAAACATACAATACAGTTATGGTGGTAACATGATAGTATCATAAGTTACCACTGCTTAATTTTTAACACAGCAGCATTACACAAAAATAGTTATAAACTAGTGTTTCACATGTTAATCGTGCATATTTAAAAACAGGAAACATTTCTGCTTATTTGGTGGCACAGTAAAACATACATGCCAAACTCTAAAATCTCAGGCTGGGTGAGAAACTGACAGCTAAGATTGCCTCTGTGTTTTTACCACCCACATAAATGCCCGTTTGGTGCTGATAACATAATTGCTCAACGCACACCGCACCCACACACAAACACACGCACAATGCAGCAGGGGGGGGGGAGGAGTTATGTGATCATGTAGAGAGCCTGGGTTTTTTAACAGAGATTTCATCAAAAATCAATCCTTTGCTTTTTTTGTAAACAGTTCATCAGAAATCAGAAGCAAGGTGTATTTTTTCACCAATAGCGACAACATACTGCATTTACTGTACATTCCCATCATTCCATGAGTCTGAACCAAATACCTAGTTTTGCTTAACCACCACAAAAATGCAACACTAAAAGCTTAAATCAAACTTTTTAGCGCATGGTCTTGGCCTGAGTAAAATAACTTGCATACCTGAGTTCCTTTTGGAGATGTATTTGAGATTGATGGAGGCCGCTGAATTGATGAGAAGAAGCATAAATCCACCGAGCTTCATCTTTCATCTACAAGAAACCAGAAAACATAAGAATAAGCCCTGACTTCCTTTTTAAACTTTAACATATCTAGCATCCCCAACGAAAAGAGCAACTCTCATCCAAGAAAATGGACAAAGTGAACGGAACTTCTTTTGAAGTTAATACTGGACGTTTTGGACTGCCAAATGTGTTCAGTTCAAAGTATTTGAAATATTAAAGATGAGTGTTAAGAGCAGACATATTAAATTAGATTTTGTTTCCCCTAAATATTCCAAATAATCAAGTCAGTATTTAACCTGTTAACCCGTGGGAGGACTCCGGCAAGGCCCAAGACTGGTTGCTTACTGAAGCTAAGCAGGGTTGAGCTTGGTTAGTACCTGGATGGGAGACCTCCTGGGAAAACTAGGGTGCTGCTGAGGTGTTAGTAAGGCCTGCAGGGGGTGCTCACCCTGTGGTTTGTGTGGGTCCTAACGCCTCAGTATAGTGATTGGGACACTATACTGTCAAAAAGCACCATCCTTTGGATGAGACGTTAAACCGAGGTCTCTCTGTAATGACTCTCTGTGGTCATTAAGGATGTCCTTCGAAAGAGTAGTGGTGTAACCCCGGCATCCCAAATTTGCACATTGGCCTCTGTCCATACAATACAATACAATTTTATTTGTATAGCACATTTAAAAACAACTGACGTTGACCAAAGTGCTTAACAAAGCAATAAAAAAGGTAGACAATACATGCACGAAACCAACAAATACACATCAAAGAGAAAAAACGGACACATCAAGGTATATTAAAAGCTAGTGAAAAGAGGTGCGTTTTCAGAGAAGTTTTAAAAAGTGTCAGAGTTTGGGCAGATCTGATAGGGTAGGCTATTCCATAGCTTGGGTCTATAAGCTGCGAAAGCACGGTCACCCCTATTTTTTAATCTAGTCCTGGGGACAGAAAGTAAGTTCGAATCCCCCGATCTTAGTGATCTTGACTTAGATTCTGGGTGAAGCAGTTCAGATAGGTACTGGGGAGCTAAATTCTGTAAAGATTTAAAAACAAAAAGCAAAACTTTAAAATCTATTCGGAATTTAATCGGTAGCCAGTGAAGTGAGATCAGAACCGGAGTAATATGTTCAAATTTACGTTTTCCTTTGAGGAGGCGTGCAGCTGCATTTTGGACTAATTGTAGACGGGTGATATGTTTCTGAGGAACTCCAAAATATAAAGAATTACAATAGTCCAATCTGGATGTTACAAAAGCATGCATAGCTATCTCAAAGTGTTTACCAGACAAAAATGGCTTAACCTTAAATAAGAGACTAAGATGAAAGAATTTTACCAGGATTTTACCACAGCACTTATCTGCTTTTCAAGGTTAATGTTGTTATCAATCCAGACCCCCAGATTCCGAATACAGGTGGTACTGTAAGGTGACAACGTTTGAAGGTCACAAGCATGTGTACTACGATCACTGGGGCCAAACAGGATAATTTCCGTCTTGTTTTCATTCAGACTCAAAAAGTTACCAGTAAGCCATAGTTTCAGTTCATCTATATAGTCCAGTAGTGGCTTTAAGGCAGACTTATCATCACGTTTTAGGGGCAAGTAAATTTGGGTATCATCGGCGTACAGGTGAAAAGAAACCTCATGTTTAGTTAAAATAGAACCCAGAGGTAACATATACAGATTAAATAGTTCTGGCCCAAGGATAGAACCCTGCGGAACGCCGGACCCAAGTTTCATTTTAGATGAGCACTTTTTCCCGATGCGAGTCTGTCCATCATCATGGCCTCCTAATCATCCCCATATACACCCCCATATATCCCCATGTAACCGGGTTACATGTAAACTAGATGCTCCCTTTCGAAGTGAAACTTCAACAAGCATGGAGTTGGGAATGCCTACCTCACCAAGCTGTGAATATGCACAAACATAGTGATCATAGCATAAATTGAGCAGTCATATGCTGCTTAGTGGAGCCACTCCCTAAGCCAATACCTCCCAATAGTAATGAAAAGATACCTAAGCTTGTATGCTCTGTCTATATAGCAAGGGAAGTCCCGGCCTTTACAACCTTCCTCCATCCCTTGCAGACAGCTCTAAAGAAATGTTTAGCCATGTCAGCAGCTTGACAAAGCCTTAAGCGAGTAGCTTACCATAGGGAGTGTATTAACTACGCCTTAACTATTAACTACTACGGAGAATGCAACCCTTAAATTCATGAGAAGGGATGCAAACACAAGAGCGGAATAAGTCATTGAATCATTCATTCATTCAAATTTTTAAATTGACTGTAGGAATTAACATTTTGTCAGACCCTCTAGTAAATTACAGGTTATTTTGTTTAGTTGTCTTCAGAATCGTGAGACGTGATCTCTGTTTGAAACAAAAAAAAATTGTGATTCTCAATTTATCCAGAATTGTGCAGCTCTAATCCCTGCAGAGTTCATATCCAACACACCTGTCTGTAATTATCAAGTGCTCCTGAACACATTAAAGACCACCAAAATGGTATATATAAAGGACATGAATTTTCTTGGTGAGATTTCCAGGTCTTTCCCCAACCCTCCCTAATACATGGTTCGGGACTCACACATACAAATTCATACCTATGGACAATAGACCTTATTCAGAGCAGCGCTATGACAGGTATGAAAGCGAGTCTGTTAGGCATAAACTTACCGTGTTTTCAATGGATTCCACTGTAAAAAACTGTATAAAGCTCCTAGATCACTTAGAACTCTGGTGCTAAGAGTACGTAAAACATGCTGCTGCATTAATAGACATAGATAAGATCTATCACCAAGACAAATGTACTGCTGCTGCTCCAAAGAGCCATGACAACCTCATGTTTGTCAGTCCCTCCAGGACTGACTTTCTGTATTCGCTCTGCATCATCACTGTTTGTTTTTAAATCTTTGCTAAAAACTCATTTGTTTAAATTGGCATATAATCAATGAGGAAGTTGTATTGTATTGTGTTTTTATTGTTTTTATTATATTGTATTGCTTTGTTCTGTTTTCATTGTGCAGCACATTGGACAACCTAGGTTGTGATTAATAGTGCTATATAAATAAAATTGACAATTATCAAAATTTGCAGCTATATTTGCGGCATTTCTGTTTTTCTGTTTTTTGCAGTGAAAATATATCACAGACAACATTCTTCTAACAATTGTATTACTTTTCTGACCTCAAGAAACATTGAACTCTGTAAGTTTTAAAAAGAGAACACAAAGAGAAACAAAAAGTTAAATGTATGTGTTGTCCTCTTAACCCTATAAATCCTACTGTATCATAGGACTCTAAATCATCAACATGAACAAAATATTGGTGAGAAATCCCTACTACATGAGAAAAATCATGTTAAAATGTATCAATTAATAATAGTAGAACAGACTTTTGAGGAACATTTATTTGTTAATCTCTTAATCACAATTTTCACCATTGTGTTTTGCCCCCTCAATAAAAATTACAGAACTTATCATAAAACTAAACATTTAAATATCATCTTACTAAGAACTATTATTGACAGATAGCATGACAAAGGATATTTGCATTTTATGCAAGTAATATCTGCTAAACTTTTATAAAAACCTCATTAATTTGTATTTTTGGCCATATAAATAATAACCCCACCAAATTGCAATTTTTGCTCAGGCCATCCTTAAAAATATTCTTGTTTGCCGTAACCCGACCGACCCTGTCAATTTAGGACCGACCCAATTTTTTATTTTTTTTCCCTTTTAGTCCGACCGACTTGCCGGTTGTAAATTTGCATTAAGACCGATCGATTTTTTTTTACTCTTCAAACAACTAATACAAATGCAATAAAATATCAATTATATTATAGTAAGCAGGCTACGTTCTTTCTTTTAAATAAAAACCCGTGGCGTCATCTATGATGATTATGTTTACACCATTGGTTTACGCATGTCACACTATGGTCTGTGCGTTCGATTCATTTCATTCACTGTCAATGGTTCGCGCTCGGTGATGATGGCTGCGGCGCGGCTGCTTGTGAAATACGTCTGTATGAGCCTACATTTAGTCGCTCATTAATCGAAATTCTTAATCGTCAAATAGGGAATAGATGTTAACGGCCTTTTCTCGGAGCGCGTCCAGCAGCTCGTCACGATATGGCCGCCGCGAACGCGCATCACACAGCAACGGCAGGCTCTGACAAACACACATAAGTATGGGAAGCCAAGCACACCCAAAGTGGGACGAAACGGCGGGGTGTTACAGAGTTCGCGCAGCGCGGACATGTAGCTAATCTGCGTGGCTCAATGGACCGAGACGCGCGAGCGCGACAGACTCGACAGCGCAGGGAGTAAGTGTTTGCTTGCGCGACCTAATCTCACCAGCGCCGCGCTGACCAATAAAACAGCACATCCCATACCGAAATGTACTAAATTACACTAAAGAAAATCGACCATTCCATAATATGCGCCTAGCCATTTGACCTCACTGATTTCCGTTAATAATAGCAGATGTTTATGGGTCCAATTTAAACGAATAGTGCCAAATGCGCTGTTTTATTGGTCGGCGCGGCGCTGGTGAGATTAGTCATTAATTTATTTGTTTCCCTCTGAAAATCCACTCTTTTTCCCCAAATGAATGCAGCTGGAATTAATGCAATAAACATGTTTTTTGACAAAGATTTCAAATTGTTTGTTGTCTATAACCTGTATCAGAATCAGATTCGCAATGGTGCGCCCAAAGGCATGGGTTGAAGACACTGTCAATGGCGTCACGATATGCAAATTTGTTTAAATTCATACCGACGTAATCACCATGACCAAAATTGTCCTTTTTTTTTTTCATTGAATTTTTTTAAAAAAAAATATAGACCTACCTACCGACCTTTTTTTTTTTTTTTTGCTGTTACTGCAAACCAAAATATTTTTAAGGATGGCCTCAGTTTGGGCCTCTGAATAAAAAATTGAGATGTGTTTCCCTCCATATTCTCACTTCATAATACTATATGGGCAACAAAAGGCTCGTGTTTCAAGTATACTGTATAACAACACATAAAAT